TCAGCCAGCGATCAGCCAGCGATCAGACACAGCGATCCACCAGCGACAAGCCACAGCGATCAGCCCGCGATCAGCCACATCGATCAGCCAGGGATAAGCCACAGCAATCAGTCACAGCTATCAGCCACAGCGACCAGCCACAGCAATCAGCCACAGCGACCAGCCAGCGATCAGCCACAGCGATCAGCCACAGTGATCAGCCAGCGATCAGCCGCAGGGATCAGCCAGCGATCAGCCACAACAATCGGCCAGCCATCAGCCACAGCGATAAGCCAGCGATCAGCCAAAGAATGATAGCTGGCTGATCGCTGTGGCTGATCGCTGTCTGATCACTGATCGCTGACCAGCACTTACTGATCGCTGTGGCTGATCGCTGGCTAATCACTGTGGCTGATCGCTGGCTGACTGCTGTGGCTGAGCGCTGGCTCATGCCTGAGGCTGATCGCTGTGGCTGATAGCTGTGGCTGATCACTGTGGCTGATTGCTGGCTGTTCGCTGTGGCTGATCGCTGTGGCTGATTGCTGGCTGATCGCAGTGGCTGATCGCAGGCTGATCGCTGTGGCTTATGGCTGCCGCTAATTGCTGGCTGATCGCTGTGGCTGATCGATCAGTCACACCGATCCGCCAGCAATCAGTCACATCAAACAGCCAGCGATTCGCCACAGTGAACAGCCAGGGATCAGCCACAGCGATGAGCCAGCGATCAGCCACAGTGATCAACTAGTGATCAGCCACAGCGATCAGACAGCGATCAGCCACGGCGATCAGCCACGGCGATCAGCCACAGCGATCAGCCACAGCGATCAGCCTGCGATCAGCCACAGCGAACAGCCAGGGATCAGCCAAAGCGAACAGCCAGCGATCAGCCAGCGATCAGCCAGCGATCAGCCAGCGATCAGCCAGCGATCAGCCACAGCGAGCAGCCAAAGATCAGCCACAGCGATTTGCCAGCGATCAGCCACAACAATCAGCCAGCCATCAGCCACAGCGATAAGCCAGCGATCAGCCAAAGAATGATAGCTGGCTGATCGCTGTGGCTGATCGCTGTCTGATCGCTGATCGCTGACCAGCACTTACTGATCGCTGTGGCTGATCGCTGGATAATCACTGTGGCTGATCGCTGGCTGACCGCTGTGGCTGAGCGCTGGCTCATCCCTGAGGCTGATCGCTGGCTGATCGCTGTGGCTGATAGCTGTGGCTGATCACTGTGGCTGATTGCTGGCTGTTCGCTGTGGCTGATCGCTGTGGCTGATCGCTGTGGCTGATTGCTGGCTGATCGCAAGCTGATAGCTGTGGCTGATGGCTGCCGCTAATCGCTGGCTGATCGCTGTGGCTGATCGATCAGTCACATCGAACAGCCAGCGATTCGCCACAGAGAACAGCCAGGGATCAGCCACAGCGATGAGCATGCGATCAGCCACAGTGATCAACTAGTGATCAGCCAAAGCGATCAAACAGCGATCAGCCACGGCGATCAGCCACAGCGATCAGCCACAGCGATCAGCCTGCGATCAGCCACAGCGTACAGCCAGAGATCAGCCACAGTGATCAGCTACAGCGATCAGCCAGCGGTCACCCAGCGCCCAGCCACAACGTTCAGCCAGCGATTAGCCACAGCGATCAGCCAGCAATCAGCCACAGCGATCCGCCAGCGATCAGCCATGGAGATCAGCCACAGCGATCAGCCACAGCGACCACCCACAGCGATCAGCCACAGCGACCAGCCAGCGATCAGCCACAGCGATCAACCGCAGCGATCAGCCAGAGATCAGCCACAGCGATGAGCCAGCTATCAGCCAGCGAACAGCCACATCGATCAGCCACAGCGATCAGCCACAGCCATCAGCCTGCGATCAGCCAAAGCGATTAGCCAGGGATCAGCCACAGCGATCAGCCACAGCGATCAGCGATCAGCCACAGCGATCAGGCACAGTGATCAATCACAGCGATCACCCAGCGATCCGCCAGCAATCAACCAGTGATCAGCCTCAGGGATCAGCCAGCGATCAGCCACGATAATCAGCTCCCCATCAGCCACAGCGAACAGCCACAACAATCAGCCAGCCATCAGCCACTGCGATAAGCAAGCGATCAGCCAAAGAATGATAGCTGGCTGATGGCTTCGGCTGATCGCTGATCAGCACTTGCTGATCGCTGTGGCTGATCGCTGGCTAATCGCTGTGGCTGATCGCCGGCTGATCGCTGTGGCTGATCGCTGGCTGATCCCTGAGGCTGATCCCTGAGGCTGATCGCTGGCTGATCGCTGTGGCTGATTGCTGAGGCTGATCGCTGTGGCCGATCGCTGGCTGTTCGCTGTGGCTGATCACTGTGGCTGATTGTTGGCTGATCGCTGTGGCTGATCGCAGGCTGATCGCTGTGGCTGATGGCTGTGGCTGATCGCTGGCTGATCGCTGTGGCTGATCGCTGTGGCTGATCGCTGGCTGATCGCTGTGGCTGATCGCTGTGGCTGATCGCTGGTTGATCGCTGAGGATGATCGCTGGATGATCGCTGTGGATGATCGCTGGCTGATCGCTTTTGCTGACCACTGGCTGATCGCTGTGGCTGATCGCTGTGCCTGATCGCTGTGGCTGAACCTTGGCTGGTCGCTGTTGCTGATCGCTTTGGCTGGTCGCTGTGGCTGATCGCTGTGACTTAGCTGATCGCCGGCTGATCGCTATGGCTGATCCCCGTAGCTGATTGCTGCCTGATCGCTGTGGCTGATCGCTGGCTGATCGCTGTGGCTGACCGCTGGCTGATCGCTGGTTCTGATCGTTGGCTGATCTCTGTGGCTGATCGCTGGCTGATCGATTGAGCTGATCGCTGGCTGATCGCTGTGGCTGATCGCTGAGGCTAATCCCTGGCTAATCGCTGTGACTCATCGCTGGCCTATCGCTGTCTGATTGCTGAGACCAGTCGCTGGCTGATCGCTGGCAGAGCACTGGGGCTGATCGCTGTGACTGATCGCTAGCTGTTCGCTGTGGCTGATCGCTGTGGCTGATCGCTGTTGCTGATCACTGTGGCTGATCGCTGGCTAATCGCTGTGGATGATCGCTGCCTGACGGCTGTGGCTGATTACTGCCTGATTGCGGTGGCTGATTGCGATGGCCGATCGCCGGCTGATCGCTGTGGCTGATCCCTGGCTGTTCGCTGTGGCTGATCGCTGGCTGATCGCAGGCTGATCGCTGTGGTTGATCGCTGGCTGAAAACTTTGGCTGATCAGCCATGGGTCATCTTGGGCTGATCAGCCGTTGCTGATCAGAAAGCGATCAGCCACAGCAATCACCCAGCGATCAACCACAACGATCAGCCACAGCGATCAGCCACAGCGATCAGCAACGGCGATCAGCAGCGGCGATCAGCCACAGCGAACAGCCAGCGATCAGCCACAGCGAATAGCCAGCGATTAGCCACAGTGAACAGCCAGGGATCAGCCACCGGGATCAGCCAGCGATCAGCCACAGCGATCAAACAGCGATCAGCCACAGCGATCAGCATCAGCGATCAGCCAGCTATCAGCCACAGCGAACAGCCAGGGATCAGCCACAGCGATCAGCCAGCGATCAGCTACAGCGATCAGCCACAGCGATCAGCCAGCAATCAGCCAGCGATCAGCCAGCGATCAGCCACAGAGCTCAGCCAGCGATCAGCCAACGACCAGCCACAGCGAGCAGCCAACGATCAGCCACAGCGATCAGCCAGCGATCAGCCACAACAATCAGCCAGCCATCAGCCACAGCAATAAGCAAGCGATCAGCCAAAGAATGATAGCTGGCTGATCGCTGTGGCTGATCGCTGTCTGATCGCTGATCGCTGACCAGCACTTACTGATCGCTGTGGCTGATCGCTGGCTAATCAATGTGGCTGATCGCTGGCTGACCGCTGTGGCTGAGCGCTGGCTCATCCCTGAGGCTGATCGCTGGCTGATCGCTGTGGCTGATAGCTGTGACTGATCACTGTGGCTGATTGCTGGCTGTTCGCTGTGGCTGATCGCTGTGGCTGATTGCTGGCTGATCGCTGTGGCTGATAGCTGTGGCTGATGGCTGCCGCTAATTGCTGGCTGATCGCTGTGGCTGATCGATCAGTCACATCGAACAGCCAGCGATTCGCCACAGAGAACAGCCAGGGATGAGCCACAGCGATGAGCCTGCGATCAGCCACAGCGATCAACTAGTGATCAGCCACAGCAATCAGACAGCGATCAGCCACGGCGATCAGCCACAGCAATCAGCCACAGCGATCAGCCTGCGATCAGCCACAGCGTACAGCCAGGGATCAGCCGCAGTGATCAGCTACAGCGATCAGCCAGCGGTCACCCAGCGCCCAGCCACAACGTTCAGCCAGCGATTAGCCACAGCGATCAGCCAGCAATCAGCCACAGCGATCCGCCAGCGATCAGCCATAGAGATCCGCCACAGCGATCAGCCACAGCATCAGCCACAGCGACCACCCACAGCGATCAGCCACAGCGACCAGCCAGCGATCAGCCACAGCGATCAACCGCAGCGATCAGCCAGAGATTAGCCACAGCGATGAGCCAGCGATCAGCCAGAGCGATCAGCCACATCCATCAGCCAGCGATCAGCCAAAGCGATTAGCCAGCGATCAGCCACAGCGATCAGCCACAGCGATCAGCGATCAGCCACAGTAATCAGGCACAGTGATCAGTCACAGCGATCACCCAGCGATCCGCCAGCGATCAGCCAGTGATCAGCCTCAGGGATCAGCCAGCGATCAACCACGATAATCAGCTCCCCATCAGCCACAGCGAACAGCCACAACAATCAGCCAGCCATCAGCCACTGCGATAAGCAAGCGATCAGCCAAAGAATGATAGCTAGCTGATGGCTTCGGCTGATCGCTGTGGCTGATCGCTGGCTAATCGCTGTGGCTGATCGGCGGCTGAACGCTGTATCTGATCGCTGGCTGATCCCTGAGGCTGATCGCTGGCTGATCGCTGTGGCTGATTGCTGAGGCTGATCGCGGTGGCCGATCGCTGGCTGTTCGCTGTGGCTGATCACTGTGGCTGATTGTTGGCTGATCGCAGGCTGATCGCTGTGGCTGATGGCTGTGGCTGATCGCTGGCTGATCGCTGTGGCTGATCGCTGGCTGATCGCTGTGGCTGATCGCAGGTTGATCGCTGAGGCTGATCGCTGGATGATCGCTGTGCATGATCGCTGGCTGATCGCTGTGGCTGACCACTGGCTGATCGCTGTGGCTGATCGCTGTGCCTGATCGCTGTGGCTGAACTTTGGCTGGTCGCTGTTGCTGATCGCTTTGGCTGGTCGCTGTGGCTGATCGTTGTGACGTAGCTGCTCGCCGGCTGATCGCTATGGCTGATAACCGTAGCAGATTGCTGCCTGATCGCTGTGGCTGATCGCTGGCTGATCGCTGTGGCTGACCGCTGGCTGATCGCTGGTTCTGATCGTTGGCTGATCTCTGTGGCTGATCGCTGGCTGATCGATGTGGCTGATCGCCGGTTGATCGCTGTGGCTGATCGCTGAGGCTGATCCCTGGCTAATCGCTGTGACTCATCGCTGGCCTATCGCTGGCTGATCGCTGGGGCTAGTCGCTGGCTGATCGCTGGCAGAGCACTGTGGCTGATCGCTGTGACTGATCGCTAGCTGTTAGCTGTGGCTGATCGCTGTGGCTGATTGCTGTTGCTGATCACTGTGGCTGATCGCTGGCTTATCGCTGTGGATGATCGCTGCTTGACCGCTGTGGCTGATTGCTGCCTGATCGCGGTGGCTGATTGCTGTGGCCGATCGCCTGGCTGATCGCTGTGGCTGATCCCTGGCTGTTCGCTGTGGCTGACCGCTGGCCGATCGCAGGCTGATCCCTGTGGCTGATCGCTGGCTGAAAACTTTGGCTGATCAGCCATGGGTCATCTTGGGCTGATCAGCCGTTGCTGATCAGAAAGCGATCAGCCACAGCAATCACCCAGCGATCAACCACAACGATCAGCCACAGCGATCAGCCACAGCGATCAGCAACGGCGATCAGCAGCGGCGATCAGCCACAGCGAACAGCCAGCGATCAGCCACAGCGAACAGCCAGCGATTAGCCACAGTGAACAGCCAGGGATCAGCCACCGGGATCAGCCAGCGATCAGCCACAGAGATCAAACAGCGATCAGCCACAGCGATCAGCATCAGCGATCAGCCAGCGATCAGCCACAACGAACAGCCAGGGATCAGCCGCAGCGATCACCCAGCGATCAGCCAGCGACCAGCCAGGGTTCAGCCACAGCGATCAGGCACAGCGATCGGCCAGTGGTCAGCCACAGCGATCAGACAGCGATCAGCCAGCGGTCAGCGACAGCGATCAGCCAGCGATCAGCCACAGAGATCAGTCACAGCGATCAGCATCAGCGATCAGCCACAGCATCAGCCACAGCGACCAGCCACAGCGATCAGCCACAGCGACCAGCCACCGATCAGTCACAGCGATCAACCACAGCGATCAGCCAGAGATCAGCCACAGCGATGAGCCAGCGATCAGCCAGAGATCAGCCACAGCGATGAGCCAGCGATCAGCAGGCGATCAGCCACAGCGTTCAGCCACAGCGATCAGCCACAGTCATCAGCCAGCGATCAGCCACCGCGATCCGCCACAGCGATCAGCCACAGCGATCAGCCACAGCGATCAGCCACAGCGATCAGTCACAGCGTTCAGACAGCGATCAGCCACAGCGATCAGCCAGTGATGAGCCACAGCGATTGGCCAGCGACCAGCCAGCGATCAGCCACAGGGATCAGACAGCGATCAACCACAGGGGTCAGCCAGCGATCAACCACAGGGAACAACCAGCGATCAGCCACAGCGATCAGCCAGCAATCAGCCACAGCGATCAGACAACGATCAGCCAGCGATCAGCCACAGCGATCGGACATCGATCAGCCACAGCGATCAGCCAGCAGTCAGCCACAGCGATCAGCCAGAGATCAGCCACAGCGATCAGCTAGCTATCACCCTCAGTGATCAGCCAGGGCGATCAGGCACAGCGCACCGCTTTGGCGATCAGCCACAGCAAACACCCAGCGATCAGCCACAGCGATCAGCCAGCAATCTGCAACAGCGATCAGCCACAACGATCAGCCAGCGATCAGCCACAGCTATCAGCCTGCAATCAGCCACAGTGATCAGCCAAGGCTCAGCCACGGCGATCAGCAACAGCGGTCAGACACAGCGTTCAGTCACAGCCATCAGCCAGCGATCTGCCACAGCCTTCAGCATGCGATCAGCCACAGCGATCAGCCATCAATCAGCCACAGCAATAAACCACAGCGATCAGTCACAGTGATTCGCCACAGGTATCAGCCACAGTAATCAGCCAGCGATCAGCTCCAGCGATCAGACAGCGATCAGCCAGCGATCAGCCACAGCGATCAGCCAGCGGTCAGCCTCCGGGATCAGCCTCCGGGATCAACCAGCGATCAGCCACAGTGATCAGCCACGAACGATCAGTTAGCGATCAGCCAGAGCTATCAGCCAGCGATTATCCACAGCGATCAGTCAACGATCAGCAACAGGGATCAACCAGGGATCAGCCACGGCGCAGCGATCAGCCAGCGGTCAGCCACAGCGATCAGCCAGCGATCAGCCACAGCGATTAGCCTCAGCGATCAGCCTCAGCGATCAGCCACAGCGATCAGCCACAGAGATCAGCCACAGCGATCAGCCAGCGATCATCCACAGCGATCAGCCAGCGATCAGCCAGCGATCAGCCACAGCGATCAGCCAGTGATCAGCCACAGCGATCAACAGCGGCTGATCGCTGATCGCTGGCTAATCGCTGTGGCTGATCGGCGGCTGAACGCTGTGGCTGATCGCTGGCTGATCCCTGAGGCTGATCGCTGGCTGATCGCTGTGGCTGATTGCTGAGGCTGATCGCTGTGGCCGATCGCTGGCTGTTCGCTGTGGCTGATCACTGTGGCTGATTGTTGGCTGATTGCAGGCTGATCGCTGTGGCTGATGGCTGTGGCTGATCGCTGACTGATCGCTGTGGCTGATCGCTGTGGCTGATCGCTGGCTGATCGCTGTGGCTGATCGCTGTGGCTGATCGCTGGTTGATCGCTGAGGCTGATCGCTGGATGATCGCTGTGGATGATCGCTGGCTGATCGCTGTGGCTGACCACTGGCTGATCGCTGTGGCTGATCTCTGTGCCTGATCGCTGTGGCTGAACCTTGGCTGGTCGCTGTTGCTGATCGCTTTGGCTGGTCGCTGTGCCTGATCGCTGTGACTTAGCTGATCGCTATGGCTGATCCCCGTAGCTGATTGCTGCCTGATCGCTGTGGCTGATCGCTGGCTGATCGCTGTGGCTGACCGCTGGCTGATCGCTGGTTCTGATCGTTGGCTGATCTCTGTGGCTGATCGCTGGCTGATCGATGTGGCTGATCGCCGGCTGATCGCTGAGGCTGATCGCTGTGACTCATCGCTGGCCTATCGCTGGCTGATCGCTGTGGCTAGTCGCTGACTGATCGCTGGCAGAGCACTGTGGCTGATCGCTGTGACTGATCGCTAGCTGTTCGCTGTGGCTAATCGCTGTTGCTGATCGCTGGCTAATCGCTGTGGATGATCGCTACCTGATCGCTGTGGCTGATTGCTGCCTGATCGCGGTGGCTGATTTCTGTGGCCGATCGCCGGCTGATCGCTGTGGCTGATCCCTGGCTGTTCGCTGTGGCTGATCGCTGGCTGATCGCAGGCTGATCGCTGTGGCTGATCGCTGGCTGATAACTTTGGCTGATCAGCCATGGGTACTCTTGGGCTGATCAGCCTATGCTGATCAGAAAGCGATCAGCCACAGCAATCACCGAGCGATCAACCACAACGATCAGCCACAGCGATCAGCCACAGCGATCAGCAACGGCGATCAGCAGCGGCGATCAGCCACAGCGAACAGCCAGCGATCAGCCACAGCTATTAGCCACAGTGAACAGCCAGGGATAAGCCACCGGGATCAGCCAGCGATCAGCCACAGCGATCAAACAGCGATCAGCCACAGCGATCAGCATCAGCGATCAGCCAGCGATCAGCCACAGCGAACAGCCAGGGATCAGCCACAGCGAACAGCCAGGGATCAGCCACAGCGATCAGCCAGCGATCAGCTACAGCGATCAGCCACAGCGATCAGCCAGCGATCAGCTACAGCGATCAGCCACAGCGATCAGCCAGCGATCAGCCTCCGGGATCAACCAGCGATCAGCCACAGTGATCAGCCACGAGCGATCAGTTAGTGATCAGCCAAAGCTATCAGCCAGCGATTAGCCACAGCGATCAGTCAACGATCAGCAACAGGGATCAGCCAGGGATAAGCCACGGCGCAGTGGCGGATTGCTCATGCTGATCGCGTGTTGATCGCTGTGGATAATCGCTCGCCGATGGCTGTGCTGATCTCTGCCTCATCGCTGTGGCTCATCTGTGGCTCACCGCTGTGGCTGATGGCTGGCTGATCGCTGTGGCTGATCGCTGTGGCTGATCGCTGTTGCTGATCGCTGGCTGAACCCTGTGGCTAATCACTGGCTGTTAGCTGTGGTTGATCGCTGCCCGATCGGTGTGGCTGATCGCTGGCTGATCGTGTTGGCTGATCGCAGGCTGATCGCTGTGGTTAATCGCTGGTTGGTCGCTGTGGCTGGTCGCTGTGACTGTTCGCCGTGACTGATCGCTGTGGCTCATCGCTGTGGCTCATCGCTGTGGCTCATCGCTGTGGCTGATTGCTGGCTAATAGCAGGCTGATCACTGTGGCTGATCTCTGTGGCTGTTCGCTGGCTCATCGCGGTGGCCGAACGCTGTCTGATCGATGTGGCTGGTCGTTGGCAGAACTGAACGCTGTGGCTGACCGCTCGCTGATCGCTGTGGCTAATTCCTGGCAGATCGCTGTGGTGGATCGCTGTGGCTGGTCGCTGGCTGATCGCTGTGGCTGGTCTCCGGTCCATCGCTGTGGCTGGTCGCTGGCTGGTCGCTGGGGTTGATCGCTGGCTGATCCCTGTGGCTGATCGCTGGCTGATCGCTGTGGCTGATCGCTGGCTGATCGCTGTGGCTCATCGCTGGCTAATCGCTGTGGCTTATAGCTGGCTTATCCCTGAGGCTGATCGCTGGCGGATCACTGTGGCTGATCGCTGCCTGATCGTTGTGGCTGATCTCGGGCTGATCGCTTTGGCTGATTGCTGGTTTATCGCTGTGGCTGATCGCTGGTTAGTCGCTGTGGCTGATCGCTGTGGTTGTTCGCTGTGACTGATCGCTGTGGCTGATCGCTGGCTGAATACTGTGGCTGATCGCTGGCTGATAGCTGGCTGATCGCTGTGGTTGATAGCTGCCTGATCACTGTGGCTGATCGCTGGCTGATCGCTGTAACTGATCACTGGCTGACAGCGATCAGCCAGCAATGAGCCACAGCGATCAGACGGTGACCAGCCAGCAATCCCCCACAGCGATCAGCCAGTGATGAGCCACAGCGATTGGCCAGCGACCAGCCAGCGATCAGCCACAGCGATCAGCCAGCGATCAACCAGAGGGACCAGCCAGCGATAAGCCACAGCGATCAGCCACAGCAATCAGCCAGCGATCCGCCACAGCGATCAGCCTCAGCGATCAGCCTCAGCGATCATCCACAGCGATCAGCCACAGTGATCAGCCACAGCGATCAGCCACAGAGATCAGCCACAGCGATCAGCCAGCGATCATCCACAGCGATCAGCCAGCGAGCTGTGGCTGATTGCTGAGGCTGATCGCTGTGGCCGATCGCTGGCTGTTCGCTGTGGCTGATCACTGTGGCTGATTGTTGGCTGATTGCAGGCTGATCGCTGTGGCTGATGGCTGTGGCTGATCGCTGACTGATCGCTGTGGCTGATCGCTGTGGCTGATCGCTGTGGCTGATCGCTGGCTGATCGCTGTGGCTGATCGCTGTGGCTGATCGCTGGTTGATCGCTGAGGCTGATCGCTGGATGATCGCTGTGGATGATCGCTGGCTGATCGCTGTGGCTGACCACTGGCGGATCGCTGTGGCTGATCGCTGTGCCTGATCGCTGTGGCTGAACCTTGGCTGGTCGCTGTTGCTGATCGCTTTGGCTGGTCGCTGTGGCTGATCGCTGTGACTTAGCTGATCGCCGGCTGATCGCTATGGCTGATCCCCGTAGCTGATTGCTGCCTGATCGCTGTGGCTGATCGCTGGCTGATCGCTGTGGCTGACCGCTGGCTGATCGCTGGTTCTGATCGTTGGCTGATCTCTGTGGCTGATCGCTGGCTGATCGATGTGGCTGATTGCCGGCTGATCGCTGAGGCTGATCGCTGTGACTCATCGCTGGCCTATCGCTGGCTGATCGCTGTGGCTAGTCGCTGGCTGATCGCTGGCAGAGCACTGTGGCTGATCGCTGTGACTGATCGCTAGCTGTTCGCTGTGGCTGATCGCTGTTGCTGATCGCTGGCTAATCGCTGTGGATGATCGCTGCCTGATCGCTGTGGCTGATTGCTGCCTGATCGCGGTGGCTGATTTCTGTGGCCGATCGCCGGCTGATCGCTGTGGCTGATCCCTGGCTGCTCGCTGTGGCTGATCGCTGGCTGATCGCAGGCTGATCGCTGTGGCTGATCGCTGGCTGATAACTTTGGCTGATCAGCCATGGGTCATCTTGGGCTGATCAGCCTATGCTGATCAGAAAGCGATCAGCCACAGCAATCACCGAGCGATCAACCATAACGATCAGCCACAGCGATCAGCCACAGCGATCAGCAACGGCGATCAGCAGCGGCGATCACCCACTGCGAACAGCCAGCGATCAGCCACAGCTATTAGCCACAGTGAACAGCCAGGGATAAGCCACCGGGATCAGCCAGCGATCAGCCACAGCGATCAAACAGCGATCAGCCACAGCGATCAGCATCAGCGATCAGCCAGCGATCAGCCACAGCGAACAGCCAGGGATCAGCCACAGCGATCAGCCAGCGATCAGCTACAGCGATCAGCCACAGCGATCAGCCAGCGATCAGCCAGCGATCAGCCTCCGGGATCAACCAGCGATCAGCCACAGTGATCAGCCACGAGCGATCAGTTAGTGATCAGCCAAAGCTATCAGCCAGCGATTAGCCACAGCGATCAGTCAACGATCAGCAACAGGGATCAGCCAGGGATAAGCCACGGCGCAGTGGCGGATTGCTCATGCTGATCGCGTGTTGATCGCTGTGGCTAATCGCTCGCCGATGGCTGTGCTGATCTCTGCCTCATCTCTGTGGCTCATCTGTGGCTCACCGCTGTGGCTGATGGCTGGCTGATCGCTGTGGCTGATCGCTGTTGCTGATCGCTGGCTGATTCCTGTGGCTAATCACTGGCTGTTAGCTGTGGTTGATCGCTGCCCGATCGGTGTGGCTGATCGCGGTGGCTGATCGCAGGCTGATCGCTGTGGTTAATCGCTGGTTGGTCGCTGTGGCTGGTCGCTGTGACTGTTCGCTGTGACTGATCACTGTGGCTCATCGGTGTGGCTGATCGCTGTGGCTGATCGCTGTGGCTGATTGCTGGCTAATAGCAGGCTGATCACTGTAGCTGATCTCTGTGGCTGTTCGCTGGCTGAACGCGGTGGCCGAACGCTGTCTGATCGATGTGGCTGGTCGCTGGCTGATCGCTGGCTGAACTGAACGCTGTGGCTGACCGCTCGCTGATCGCTGTGGCTGATCCCTGGCATATCGCTGTGGTGGATCGCTGTGGCTGGTCGCTGGCGGATCGCTGTGGCTGATCTCCGGCTCATCGCTGTGGCTGGTCGCTGGCTGGTCGCTGGGGTTGATCGCTGGCTGATCCCTGTGGCTGATCGCTGGCTGATCGCTGTGGCTGATCGCTGTGGCTGATCGCTGGCTGATCGCTGTGGCTCATCGCTGGCTAATCGCTGTGGCTTATTGCTGGCTTATTCCTGAGGCTGATCGCTGGCTGATCACTGTGGCTGATCGCTGCCTGATCATTGTGGCTCAACGCTGGCTGATCGCTTTGGCTGATTGCTGGTTCATCGCTGTGGCTGATCGCTGGTTAGTCGCTGTGGCTGACCGCTGTGGCTGTTCGCTGTGACTGATCGCTGTGGCTGATCGCTGGCTGAATACTGTGGCTGATCGCTGGCTTATAGCTGGCTGATCGCTGTGGTTGATAGCTGCCTGATCGCTGTGGCTGATCGCTGGCTGATCGCTGTGGCTGATCACTGGCTGACAGCGATCAGCCAGCAATGAGCCACAGCGATCAGACGGTGACCAGCCAGCGATCCGCCACAGCGATCAGCCAGTGATGAGCCACAGCGATTGGCCAGCGACCAGCCAGCAATCAGCCACAGCGATCAGCCAGCGATCAACCAGAGGGACCAGCCAGCGATAAGCCACAGCGATCAGCTACAGCGATCAGCCAGCGATCCGCCAAAGCAAACAGCCAGCGATCAGCCTCAGCGATCAGCCACAGCGATCAGCCACAGCGATCAGCCACAGAGATCAGCCACAGCGATCAGCCAGCGATCATCCACAGCGATCAGCCAGCGATCAGCCAGCGATCAGCCATAGCGATCAGCCACAGCGATCAGCCAGCGATCAGCCACAGCAATCAGCCACGGCGATCAGCCACAGCGCAATGCTTTGGCGATCAGCCACAACGATCAGCCAGCGATCAGCCAGCAATCAGCCAGCGATCCCCCACAGCGAACAGCCAGCGATCAGCCACAGCGATCAGCCACAGCAATCAGCCACAGCGATCAGCCAGCGATCAGCCACAGCGATCAGCCACAGCGACCAGCCACAGCGACCAGCCACATCGATCAGCCACAGCGACCAGCCAGCGATCACCCACAGCGATCAGCCACAGCGATCAACCACAGCGATCAGCCAGCGATCAGCCACGGCGATCAACCAGCGATCAGCAACAGCGATCAGCCAGCGATCAGCCACAGCGATCAGCCAGTGCGAACAGCCACAGCGTTCAGTCACAGCGATCAGCCACAGCGATCAGCCAGCGGTCAGCCCCAGCGGTCAGCCACAGCGGTCAGCCACAGCGATAAGCCACAGCGATTAGACAACGATCACCCACAGCGATCAGCCACAGCGATCAGCTACCGACCAGCCAGCGATCAGCCACAGCGATCAGCCAGCGCTCAGCCACAGGGATCAGCCCGCGATCAGCCACAGCGATCAGCCCGCGATCAGCCACAGCGATCAGCCCGCAATCAGCCACAGCGATCAGCCAGCGATCAGCCAGCGATTAGCCACAGCGATCAGCCAGCGATCAGCCACAGCGATCAGCCAGCGATCAGCCAGCGATCAGCCACGGCGATCAGTCACAACAATCAGCCGGCAATCAGCCACAGCAATCAGCCAGCGATCAGCTAGCGCGATCAGCCAGCGCGACCCGGCGGTGATCAGCCACAGCGATCAGTCACAGGGAGCAGCCACAGCGATAAGCGAGCGATCAGCCACAGTCATCAGCCAGCAAGCAGCCACAGCGATCATCAGCGTAGAGCCACAGATCAGCCACAGCGATCAGCCACAGTGATCAGCCCGCGATCAACCACAGCGATCAGCCAGCGATCAGCAACAGCGGTCAGCCAGCCACAGCCACTGCGCTGGGACTGATTGCTGGCTGATCGCGGTGGTTGATCGCTGGCTGATAGATATCTGATCGCTGTGGCTGATCGCTGGCTGATCCCTGTGGCAAATCACTGGCTGTTAGCTGTGATTGATCGCTGCCTAATCGGTGTGGCTGATCGCTTGCTGTTCGCGGTGGCTGATCGCAGGCTGATCACTGTGGTTAATTGCTAGTTGGTCGCTGTGGCTGGTCGCTGTGACTGTTCGCTGTGACTGATCGCTGTGGCTGATCTCTGTGGCTGTTAGCCGGCTGATCGTGGTGGCCGAACGCATGCTGGTCGATGTGGCTGGTTGCTGGCTGATCGCTGGCTGAACTGAACGCTGTGGCTGACCGCTGGCTGATCGCTTTGGCTTATCCCTGGCAGATCGCCACAGCGATCAGGCAGCGATCCGCCACAGCGAACAGCTACAGCGATCAGCCACATCGGTCAGCCAGCGATCATCCACAGCGATCAGCGAATGATCAGCCAGCGATCAGCCAGCGATCAGCCAGCGATCAGCCACAGCGATCAGCCAGCGATCAGCCACAGCAATCAGCCACGGCAATCAGCCACGGCGATCAGCCACAGCGCACAGCTTTGGCGATCAGCCACAACGATCAGCCAGCGATCAGCCACAATGATCAGCCAGCAATCAGGCTGCGATTCCCCACAGCGAACAGCCAGCGATCAGCCACAGCGATCAGCCACAGCGATCAGCCACAGCAATCAGCCGCAGCGATCAGCCAGCGATCAGCCACAGCGACCAGCCACATCGATCAGCCACAGCGACCAGCCAGCGATCACCCACAGTGATCAGCCACAGCGATCAACCACAGCGATCAGCCAGCAATCAGCCATGGTGATCAACCAGCGATCAGCAACAGTGATTAGCCAGCGATCAGCCACAGCGATCAGCCAGTGCGAACAGCCACAGCGTTCAGTCACAGGGATCAGCCACAGCGATCAGCCAGCGGTCAGCCCCAGCGGTCAGCCACAGCGGTCAGCCACAGATCAGCCACAGCGATTAGACAGCGATCAGCCACAGCGATCACCCACAGCGATCAGCTAGCGACCAGCCAGCGATCAGCCACAGCGATCAGCCAGCACTCAGCCACAGCGATCAGCCCGCGATCAGCCACAGGGATCAGCCAGCGCTCAGCCACAGCGATCAGCCCGCGATCAGCCACAGCGATCAGCCCGCGATCAGCCACAGCGATCAGCCCGCGATCAGCCACAGCGACCAGCCAGCGATCAGCCACAGCGATCAGCCAGCAATCAGCCACAGCAATCAGCCAGCGATCAGCCATAGCGATCAGCCAGCGATCAGCCACGGCGATCAGCCACAGCAATCAGCCAGCGATCAGCCAGCGCGATCAGCCAGCGCGACCCGGCGGTGATCAGCCACAGCGATCAGTCACAAGGAGCAGCCACAGCGATAAGCGAGCGATCAGCCACAGTCATCAGCCAGCAAGCAGCCACAGCGATCATCAGCGTAGAGCCACAGATCAGCCACAGCGATCAGCCACAGCGATCAGCCCGCGATCAACCGCAGCGATCAGCCAGCGATCAGCAACAGCGGTCAGCCAGCCACAGCCACTGAGCTGGGGCTGATCGCTGGCTGATCGCGGTGGTTGATCGCTGGCTGATAGCTATCTGATCGCTGTGGCTGATGACTGGATGTTCGCTGTGGCTAATCGCTGGCTGATCACTGTGGCTGATCGCTGGCTGATCGCTGTGGCTGATCGCTGGCTGAACGCTGTTGCTGATCGCTGGCTGATCCCTGTGGCAAATCACTGCCTGTTAGCTGTGATTGATCGCTGCCTGATCGGTGTGGCTGATCACTGGCTGGTCGCGGTGACTGATCGCAGGCTGATCACTGTGGTTAATCGCTGGTTGGTCGCTGTGGCTGTTAGCTGTGACTGTTCGCTGTGACTGATCGCTGTGGCTGATCGCTGTGGCTGATCGCTGTGGCTGATCGCTGGCTGATCGCTGTGGTTGATTGCTGGCTGATAGCTGGCTGATCGCTGTGGCAGGTCTCTGTGGCTGTTCGCTGGCTGATCGCGGTGGCCGAACGCTGGCTGGTCGATGTGGCTGGTCGCTGGCTGATCGCTGGCTGAACTGAACACTGTGGCTGACCGCTGGCTGATAGCTGTGGCTGATCCCTGGCAGATCGCTGTGGTGGATCGCTAAGGCTGGTCGCAGGCTGAGCGCTCTGGCTAATCGCTGGCTGATCGCTCTGGCTGATCTCCGGCTTATCGCTGTGGCTGGTTGCTTTCTGGTCGCTGGGGTTGATCGCTGGCTGATCCCTGTGGCTGATCGCTGGCTGATCACTGTGGCTGATCGCTGGCTGCTCGCTGTGGCTGATCGCTGGCTGATCGCTGTGGCTGATCGCTGGCTAATCGCTGTTGCTTAGTGCTGGCTTATCCCTGAGGCTGATCGCTGGCTGATCACTGTGGCTGATCGCTGCCTGATCATTGTAGCTGATCGCTGGCTGGTCGCTGGCCAATCACTGTGGCTCATCACTGGCTGATCACTGTGGCTGATCGCTGGCTGATCACCGTCTGATCGCTGTGGCTCATTGCTGGCTCATCGCTGTGGCTGATCGTTGTGACTGATCGCTGTGGGTGATCGCTGTGGCTGATCGCTGTGGCTGATCGCTGTGGCTGATCGCCGTGGCTGATCGCTTCGGATGATCGCTGGCTAATCAGCCACAGCAATCAGCCACGGCGATCAGCCACGGCGATCAGCCACGGCGATCAGCCACAGCGCACAGCTTTGGCGATCAGCCACAGCGATCAGCCAGCGAACAGCGAACAGCCAGCGATCAGCCAGCGATCAGCAACAGCGATGAGCCAGAGCGTTTAGCCACAGCGATCGGCCAGCGATCAGCCACAGCCATCAGCCAGCGATCAGCCAAAGCGATTAGCCAGCGATCATCCACGGCGATCAGCCACAGCGATCAGCCACAGCTATCAGGCACAACGATCAGCCACAGCGATCAGCCAGCAATGAGCCACAGCGATCAGACGGTGATCAGCCAGCGATCAGCCACAGTGATCAGCCAGTGATGAGCCACAGCGATGACCCAGCGATGAGCCATCGATCTGCCACAGCTATCAGCCACAGCGATCAGCCACAGCGTTCAGCCACAGCCATCAGCCAGCGATCAGCCAAAGCGATTAGCCAGCGATCATCGACTGCAATCAGCCACGGCAATCAGCCACAGCGATCAGCCACAGCGATCAGCCACAACGATCAGCCACAGCGATCAGCCAGCAATGAGCCACAGCGATCAGACGGTGATCAGCCAGCGATCAACCACAGTGATCAGCCAGTGATGAGCCACAGTGATTGGCCAGCGACCAGCCACAGCGATCAGCCACGGCGATCAGCCACAGCGATCAGCCACAGCGATCAGCCACAGCGATCAGCCACAGCGATCAGCAACAGCAATCAGCCACAGCGATCAGCCAGCAATCAGCCACATCGAACAGCCAGCAATAAGCCACAGTGAACAGCCAGGGATCAGCCACAGCGATTAGCCAAAGCAATCAGTCACAGCGATCGGCCAGCGATCAGCCACAGCCATCAGCCAGCGATCAGCCAAAGCGATTAGCCAGCGATCATCCACGGCGATCAGCCACGGCGATCAGCCACGGCGATCAGCCACAGCGATCAGCCACAGCGATCAGCCACAGCTATCAGGCACAACGATCAGCCACAGCGATCAGCCAGCAATGAGCCACAGCGATCAGACGGTGATCAGCCAGCGACCAGCCAAAGTGATCAGCCAGTGATGAGCCACAGCGATGACTCAGCGATGAGCCATCGATCTGCCACAGCTATCAGCCACAGCGATCAGCCATCGATCTGCCACAGCTATCAGCCACAGCGATCAGCCACAGCGTTCAGCCACAGCCATCAGCCAGCGATCAGCCAAAGCGATTAGCCAGCGATCATCGACAGCGATCAGCCACGGCAATCAGCCACAGCGATCAGCCACAGCGATCAGCCACAACGATCAGCCACAGCGATCAGCCAGCAATGAGCCACAGCGATCAGACGGTGATAAGCCAGCGATCAGCCACAGTGATCAGCCAGTGATGAGCCACAGTGATTGGCCAGCGACCAGCCACAGCGATCAGCCACAGAGATCAGCCACAACGATCAGCCACAGCGATCAGCCTGCAATGAGCCACAGCGATCAGACGGTGATCAGCCAGCGATCAGCCACAGTGATCAGCCAGTGATCAGCCACAGTGATTGGCCAGCGATCAGCCAGCGATCAGCCACAGCCATCAGCCAGCGATCAGCCAAAGCGATTAGCCAGCGATCATCCGAAGCGATCAGCCACGGCGATCAGCCACGGCGATCAGCCACAGCGATCAGCCACAGCGATCAGCCACAGCGATCAGCAACAGCAATCAGCCACAGCGATCAGCCAGCAATCAGCCACATCGAACAGCCAGCAATAAGCCACAGTGAACAGCCAGGGATCAGCCACAGCGATCAGCCAAAGCAATCAGTCACAGCGATCAGCCACAGGGATTAGCCAGCGATCAACCAGCCATCAGCCACAGCGATCAGACAGCCATCAGCCACAGCCAACAGCCACAGCGATCAGCCGCAGGGATCAGCCAGCGACCAGCCACAGCGATAAGCCAGCGATCAGCCACAGTGATAAGCCAGCGATCAGTCACAGCGATCAGCCACAGCAATCAGCCACAGCGATCAGCCACAGCGATCAGCCAGACATTCGCCACCGCGATCAGCCAGCGATCACCCACAGCGATCAGCCACAGAGATCAGCCACAGCAATCAGCAACAGCGATCAAGCAACGATCAGGCACAGCGATCAGCCAGCGATCAGCCACTGCGATCAGGCAGCGATCAGCCACAGGGATTAGCCAGGGATCAGCCACAACGATCAGCCACAGCGATCAGCCAGCGATCAGCCACAGCGATCAGCCAGACATTCGCCACCGCGATCAGCCAGCGATCACCCACAGCGATCAGCCACAGCGATCAGCCACAGCAATCAGCATCAGCGATCAAGCAACGATCAGCCACAGCGATCAGCCAGGGATCAGCCACAACGATCAGCCACAGCGATTAGCCAGCGATCAGCCACAGCGATCAGCCAGCGATTCGCCACCGCGATCAGCCAGCGATCACCCACAGCAGTCAGACAGCGATCAGCCACAGCAATCAACGACAGCGGTCAGCCAACGATCAGCCACAACGATCAGCCAGCGATCAGACACAGCGATTAGCCAGCGATCAGCCACCGCGATCAGGCAGCGATCAGCCACAGCGATCAGCCAGCGATAAACGGCAGGGATCAGGCACCGATCAGCCACAGTGATAAGCCAGCGATCAGCCACAGCGGTCAGCCAGCGATCAGTCACGGCGATCAGCCAGCAAT